GTACTTGAGGCGGGGTGAGAAGATGTACGTGGTAGAGAAATACGGGAGACGTCTTATATAGGGTATACACGGCGCGCGTGAGCAAGAAACCGCGCGACCCTTTTGGAGTTTCAAAACTACATTATAAGTTTGAAAGGTAATAACGTGGACAATAACGTAATTAGACGTAAAGTTAGTACAAGGGGAATCGTCAACGATATGTTAAAGGGGAAAATTGGTGGTTCACAAGTAGTAAGCTATTAATTGCTTCGGAGGTTATGACATGTATTTATTGGTGACTGTAGATTAATTAGGACCAACTCCCTTATGATTTCTGTTTACCCGAAGTTAGGGTTCTCTGTTCGTTAGAGTGTACCAAGATTAGGATTGGGTCCATAAATTGGGGTTTACAGCTTTTATGATTTCGTCGTGGTGTTGTAAATGGGTAGGTTGGATAGCTTTTATAAGGTATATTATTATTTAATTTTTTGTGATGTTTTACGTTACGGTAATTAAACAAACACAAATAGACGCATTTAAGATTACTTTGTTTGTGGTACCCGAGCCCAACCGCAACCATGCTTGAGGTCGCCTCGGTGCCTCGCGGGGGGGTTCTTAAGATTTTGGGGGCAGTTGCCTTCCCGGTGAGGGTGACTAGGTGACCTGGAGAGAGTCCAATTGGATCCGGTCGTTGTCTACCAAATGTCTGGTACCAACAGGGTCAAGCGCGAACCGGTACCCGAACTGAGAGGTGCCTTTGGCCCGGACCCCCCTAATTTTAGAATTTCTGGGAAGTGTCAGAGGGACGCGTAACGGACCTGGAAAGGGGTGCACGCGCATTTAGGCGGGCCTTGTAACCGGATAGCGGGACCACCGCCGAACAAGCAGAGGGAGTGAACCCAGGGTTTGGACTAAAGACCGGCCGGACATCGCCCACTTTGCGGGTCCCACTTAACGAAGTTTGGACTGGGAAAATAGGAGGGAGTAGGGTTTGCCGTTCAAGGCTTACGCCCGAGCCCCCTTTTGGTGGCCAGTGGGCGGCTAGCGCTAGTAGTGGGCTCGAGGAGGTTGCTATCAAAGGTGAATCTTTGGGTGACGCGGGGTGACCGACCGTTTATGTTGAGATAGACGCGATGAGGACGGCGTATCCGCCGCAGGTCTAGTATTTGTAGCTTTAATGCGGGGTAGAGTCCCCGGGTGTCACTGTTCTTATAAAAAAGTGGTTCACAAACGCCACTAAAACGGCGCAAGTGACCGCCTGATTTTTTCAGCCCAGGGGTGACGGGAACTTCAGCAACGCCCGCGCCCAAAAGGCACCGAAAGGGAGACGGGTACCGTGAAAGCGGGCCCGTGGGCAGAGTTGACTACGGGTGTCCGTCACCCAAAAGCTCCGCATCAAGAAGCAGGAGGGGGGGACTTTTGCGCTGTGTCCCGTGACCACGCTGCGTGCTGTTAGGAGGCAGGAGGGGACCGAGAGAGCCTTCGGGTCCCCCCTAGTCCTGGAAACGTTGAGCAAGGTGGTAGTGCAGTTAGGGGTCATCTGATTAGTGTTAGCGAGAACGCGGGTTTACACTAAGGCATTTCTGTGGGGTGTAACTTCGGCCGCCACCTTTCGGTTATGAGGGATGGTATAATTCCAAAATAGAAAAAGGGTCGGAAGGGGTAGTTCCAGGTAGGTCGCTAAACGCCCGAGTGGTTGGTCCCCTTGCCCCCAGGGGTGTGGCATCGTTGGGTAAAGAGACGGGAGCGGTTTGAGGGGTGCACCAGCCCGGGAACGGAAGGGATAAAAAATTGGTGCTGGAGGGCACAACAACTTCTCATAGCGAGCACCGACCGCTCTATAGCAACTGCCCTAGAGGGTAAGGCCCCAGAGCCCGTGAGGAACTGTTTAGGCTAGCACCGAACCCCATGCGCTGTCTGGCAGAGTTCAAGGCGGGGAAGTGTCGTCCGGGACTGGTTCCAAAAGCCCGCTGGGTAGATTTTTTGGCCCGCGTTCCTCTTTTTTGGGTACTAGCCCGCGTCGGATTTAATTTAGCGTTCCCCGGTATCTCAGGGGTCCGTCCGTAAACCGCCCCTAGGTTATGTTTCATACGGATAGATGAGATAGATTAGATGGGGGTGCGGTCCGGGCGTGTGTTGTTGTGTATGGTTATGTGTTGTGTTGTTGTGTGTGTTGTGTGTGTGTGTGGTGGTGTGGTGGGTGGGTGTGGGGTGGTGGGGTGGGTGGGGGGTGTGTGGTGTGGTGGTGGTGGTGTGGGTGGGTGAGAGGTTTGGACTTGCAGTGCGGCAGGAGGCGGGCCGCGGTAGAGCAGAGAGAGCAGGTGAGAGTGTGTGGGTGTTGAGGGAAAGAGTTTGAAGGCGTGGGGAGAAAAAGGTGGGGGCGGTGTGTGGGTGTTTTGTTGGGTATGGCGCAAGTCGGGAAAGCTTTTGGTCCAAAAAAACATACGTTGTGGGTTGAAATAAAAGTATTTTTAAAATGTGTCAAATAACAAGGTTCGGAAGTATCGATTTTCAACGAAACCTTGAGATTGGAGTCGAAGGTCAGGGACGCCAAAGGAAAAAATTAGAACCCCCCTTCCGTCACCCAGCGACCCACCTCCAAACTGCAGAGAACACCGACCTCCCGCTAACATTGGGGTGGTGTTGCGACCCTTTCCTAATAGGAACCAACACCGAAAAAAACCAAGTTAGTTCACTATCTTGTTTGTTTTTGCAACGCGCCCCACCAAAGAAATTTAAAGTTTACGAAGTCCGTCCAAGGAACTAAGGCTCAGCCATAGTCCGACACGCTTTTTTAGAGTTGGTTCAACCTCGGTTAACTGTAACGGAGAAGCATCGACCAAAACCAGATCGTTTGAAGGAGATACAGATTGGTGAGCAAGTCCACGAAAAGGAAGCTCACTAACGGTTGTTGATGGCGTGTTGCAATAAAAGGCTGGTGAAAGAAGTACAACAAGATTAACCAAAAATATAGGAGAACAGAACCGCTATGTCACGAAAAGACAGCCGTTGTTGCCTCGAATCGATGTTTTGTTTGGGTCAGGGTTTGCCTTCACGTAAAACGGTTAGCTTCCCTCCTCAAAGTCCTCATTCGCCTTTGCCGAAAAAGTATNAAGTATACAGCTCCCTTTAGTATGAGTGTTGAGAGCTGTATCCATAAATTCATTTGGTACTCAAAGTGCAGCAGATTGATGCATTTCACTTCAACATTTAAAAAAAAATCTTTTAGAGGAGGCGAGGACCCCCCTAGAAGATGTGAGATCCCCCCTGGAGGATGTGAGGCCCCCCCTAGAGGATGTAAGGTCCACCCACAAATAAAGCAGGTTAAAATGATTAAATTGCATACATTTTCTTTTAGTAAACACTGAAAACGGGTCCCACAGACCCAAACAGTACACAAAGGTTAAAGGTAAGCATATAATATATAGATATAAAATATATACAATGCAAAAAACAAAAAAAAGAGGAGTAAAAGTAGCCCCCGACTTGCTTTATTTTTTGAAAGTAGCCCTCATCCTAAAAAAGGTTGGTGACCCAGTGGCACACTTGTTAGCCTGTTCCATTCTTCTTTGTTTTCCGAAACTGTGGCTTGGAAGTATACTTGCTTCGTTTCTGAAGGAAGTGACTTGGAAGTATGCGACTACCAAGCCAGTATCCTCGCGATTGAGAAACGGCCTAGAGAGATAATCTCTCTGCCTTTCTCACTTCGGTTAAATGGATCCTAGCGTCCCTCACTTGCGTCGTTTCCCTGTGACTAGTCCCTCCCACCAGGGAAGCATGGAGGGACGCAAGGAAACCACGAGAAGCAGGGAAATTAGTTTTAAGAGCAATGGGACGTCCTTTCCTCCGGAGCGTCACGTGAAGCAACGTCCGTTTGTGATGACTCGGTCCCCGTTATTGTCACACACACCCCCGCCTCTGTTAGTACACATTTACTGACATAAATATTGTATCATCTGTTGTGGATCCAATAAATAAAATAAACTAAGAACTACANGGGCTATGTTGTTATGCTAAGTATGTGATGAACCGGAGTAGCAGTTCGGCACTACCAGTAACCATTAAACTCCACTATGCTCACCAGAAGCCTCCTGTGAGTTACTACCATAGACTATATATATGGTTACTACCGACGTCCTTTCCTCCGGAGCGTCACGTGAAGTGACGTCCGTTTGTGATGACGTTGCACAGCTGATCGTCTGAAAGCAGCCAGCTCTGTCCCCGTTATTTCCACACACACCCCCGCCTCTGTCATTACACATTTACTGACACAAACATTTGTATCATCAACGCCATTCTCAAAATGTATAAACGAACAATAGTTTGATTAATATTGATTAGAGTGCACAAAATAAATAAAATAATTGAGAGAAGAAAAAGAGATATGTTATCAAAACCCAGTTAGATTAACATTCATTGGATTGCACACTTTGTTTGTTTGTTTGGATATGTAGCAAATTAACATTTTAAATAGCACTTCATGACTGACTGAATGGAAATGATAATAAGTAAGGGGGCGGGGGCGAGTGTCTGAGGATTTCATCGGAGGATGGTCTGGTGGTTCCTCGATTATAGCTCCTCCATTATCGCTCCTCGCTCCTCCGACAAAATATCTGAGACTGCCAAGGCACACAAGATGGCGCAGACAAATCAACTTCCGGTGAGACCGAGACCGAGGAGCGAGGAAATGAAAAATAAGAGAAGTGAGAAAGGCCCTAGGGCTCTGGGGGTAGAGTGTTCTGCTCCTACTGGCCGGTAAACCGCAGCACGATTTGCTGCATTTGTTCTGCAACGCCCCCAAATGCCATTGTGAACTGCCTGAAGGAAAACAGAAAATGTAGAGAAACATCATATTTTTGCCGACACCAAATCAAACGCATATATTAGTTACACGTAATTAGAAAACTGACCATAATTTGAAAGGGGTTGCACCGTAGCAATTAATACTACATGTTATGTTAACCGGCATTTCACAAAGCTTCCCATGTGGGGTCCTATTTGGGTCCTTGGTCAACGTGGGAGACGCGTAAAATGTGTTTATTTTGAACCTGTCTGGAGTTTCTACTGAGTGAATTTGTTCCTCAATTTATTATCTATGATATTAAAGATTGTGAGGATTTCGGTAAAACCTGTCTTACCATGATGCCAAGGGACAGTCAGTCCAAAACGGCCGCAATCGCCGCGGACGCGACGGTTGGAAACTGTCAAAACTGCTATGTTTTGCACCAGGTCAGATTATCCTTTTATGACAGAAAATTCCATTCAAAAGTTGAGTTTGGTCTTTGTAAAGGGGAAATAAACAGTCTTTGATTTTGTGACGTGAACCTTTGATTCCTAAACTAAATATCAGTTTAGGGGAACGTTGTTGGTAATAATAATTGTGGTTGTTTTTGTTTTGTGTCTTCCTGTCTCCTACTACAGAGCCAGACCGAATACGTGTCGTCATTTCTGGCTCTGAAACAGAGGATAGCGGTTTCTGAGTGAGTCATAAATGCATTATTATTGCCATGGTGATTTGCAGCAAATACATTTTAGTTAGCTATCGGTGACATTTGGACACTGGGGGAACTGGGGGTTGGTCACTTTACAAGGTGTAATCTAGCAACACATAGTAGTAATAATGTGTTCGTACTAGCTTAAAGGGAATGTTTACCAAAGGAACAATACTCTTATACAAAAGGTGACCTCAGAGTGCGAAATTACCTAAAGAATCTCAATAAATGCATAGTTTATTATGTTCATGTGTTACGCAGTGACGCAATTGGACTTCAACAACAGCTGGAAGAGCTGCAGATCAGATTGGTTACTCTGGAGAAAAAGACGGCCGATTATGAATCTTTGCAAGCAGAACTTGAGGAAAAAAAGGTATGATCTTTCTTTGTAGAGTGTAATTTACACAATATGTTTCCTCAACCTTTTCATACACTTAGTTTTGTTGTGTGTATGCTGTGTGTGATATTCTCTTGTTTATTTTTTTCAAGGTTGCTCTTAAGACCTTTGGGCAGATTTCTGAAGAGATGGAAAAATTGAAGCAGGAAAATATCAAGATGATGGCAGAGTAAGGGATTATTTTATTTGAATCATATAAGTGCAAATAAATATATTATAATGGAATTATTTTACGTTAATTTTTATTTTTCACATTGTTCAGGAACGAGAAGCTTGAAGACCATCTTAAGGATGTGAAAGGTACTTCACATCCTATAATTTATACCACTAAAAAGTTGCAAAACTTTGAAATAATAATCTGTTTATAGATGTTTTAAATACATCACTGATTCTTTGCTAAATTGTCTTTCAACCTTATAGAACTGACAGAAACACAGTCACTTGAGAATGCTCTACTGAAGAGGGAAAAAGCTGTAGTAGAAAATGATCTGCTGGAAACACAGGTAAGAAAAAACGGTCTCTGCACTTGAGTCAATTACATTTGCTGTATCTCATCACTGACGATCATTTAGAACCATTGTTTTTCAAAAAGCTTTATTCATAGTTTAAAGGTAGCTCAGGAAAATGTATAATCTTTGCACATTTAATATTTTACCTTTCAGACCTCTTTGAAGAAATCTCAGGCAAAAGCAGATCAAGTTGAAAGATTGATAGAGGAGAACGCCAAGACAGCAAGCATGTAAGAACTGGCTTTTCCCATTTAGTCGTGTCCTTCACAACCCTTGTTTGGGTTGTTTGTGAGAAACGTATTCGAAAACAAGTGATGCTCAAAGGTCCCATGTTGTTTTCTGATCCACAGAAAGGGAAGCCTTGAGAATAAAGTTAGGCTGCTTGAAAGTTGGTATCAAAAATGTATTTTACACCACATGAAAAAATTATTTAATGTTCCTAATGATTTTATTTTGGCTGTTTAACTATACATATTTCTGTCCATATTTCAGACTTGGTTTGCAAACAGAATCATCAAATATCCCATCTGACCAAAGAGAAGATCTTGCTAGAGAGCAATATTGATGACCTCCAGGTGCAGTAATAATCTTTGTAAAAACTGCACATTTGTGGGGGTAATTTTCAAAGTTATTACACAGACATTTCTTTGTGTTAAATTTCAATTACTTTACAGGTGAGAATGAGGAAACTGGAAAGAGAAAGGTGCAAAGGTAAGTAAGAAACAGCTTGATTTACAAATACACTATTACAACGAACGCTTACTTTGCTGCAGTCAGATATTGGTTCTTCCAGAAGTTAGGTTTTCAGTTAACAAAAAAACAAAAAATGATTCCAAATTACCGAACTTTTTTTTAAATTAAAGGTGGGGTAGGTAAGTTTGAGAAACCGGCTCGAGATACACTTGTTGTTATATTCCATGGAATGCTCTTAACATCCCGATAGCAATGAATATCTTAAGTGCTTTGACAAAAGATCCATAAAATAATGTAATCAGTGGAAGCCGTAGCACTGTAAAAAGCACGACCAATCATCTGAGCCGGTCCGGCTAAAGTAACTGGATGGCCTACCTGCCTGTCAGCCTTCCATCTGTGCACAAACTTATCTCGTGCCCTCATTGGTCATGTGCGCGTTTGTGTGTGTTGGAGGAGGGGCTCTGTAAGGAAGTGGCAGATTTTTTCCGGCTGTGTATTTTCAAATTCTAGCGCACTCGAGCTGGTTTCTCCAAAATTACCTTCCCCACCTTTAAATGTCAAAGGGCCTTTTTTAACAAAAGTGCATTTGATCTATATAATGGCAACAACTTTATTCTGACTTTAATTTTCCATTTGACAGATTATAGGAGTACATCAACTCAAGCAAGTGCACCGAAGGAGCCTAAAGTAGACAAAGGTATGCAGTCAGCTTCAATTATGATTTATTACATTAATTTAAGGATCGTATGCTTCGTCTTTATTAGTTGTGCAGCTTGTGATTGATTGCGTCTGCTTTTCAGAAAGGTTCCAAATGCTGCTACAGGATTTATGGGCATGTGTGGAACCTCAGCAGCAGAACCCTGTCAACCTGATACATTACCAAACCTCTCCAGGTGAGGCATCGTTAAGCTATGTTGTATAAATGTGTGAGACAGAACTCAACAAGTCTCTCACTTTTGAATCGCTTTTGCATTTATATTTGTAATTTCCCCATTTAATGCATTCATGGCAATCCTTTTTATTCTTGTACATTTCAGAGTCAAGATCCAAGGATGTTCCACCAAGCCCCCCACAAAACAGACTGCACTCTCATCTGAAGAACGCATCCCAGTCCCCTTCTCATAAGATCAGTCAATCCGACAGTTCCCCTGTGCAAACAAAAGCCATTTTTACACTGTTAAAAAGCACTCGTCATAGGCGGAAAGACATTAAGCATCAAGCATCGCTGCAGTCACCAAGTACCAAGAAACCAAAAAACACTCCCAAAAAGAGCAAGTCCAAGAAGCACAAAGCTGAGGAGTCGTCTTCTGACTTTGGAAGCTCAGAAGTATCTTTGGGTCAGATACTGGCATTGTTCAAATCAGTGCTTCCCTGCATTTCACCTATACCAGACGAGGTGGAAAATCAGGTACATTTTCATATGCATTTTCTCAAAAATAATACCAACTAATGTGCAGTTTTCACCTGTTTTTATGTAAGTGCAAATTGCTGTGTTAAAAGGTCTGCATGCACAATGCAATATTTTTTATTAAAATCAGAATCAATGAAGAATTTTAAAAGAAAGTCACAGAATATGGAATAGGTAGAGATAAAACCACTTTTCATACAGTACTTTTACATCAACTACTAGGTTAGCTTATCCTTAAATATGTCAAACCTTATATAATAGTATTTGTAACTGAACTAGTACTTTTTAGATATTGTGTCATTTTCAATCAAATGAATTATGATCAATTAAGAAAGGAACAAAGGTCTGGCTGTCGTTGTTTGTGAATATACATGTCATTTATATATTTAAAAATGACAGATTTATTATGTTTAGAAAATCACAATTTGGTCCCTCAAAGCTCCTGTAATGTCATTGCGAAGTGGTCAAAAAAGCACTGTTATATTTTCTGCCTTTTGATTCTCCTGGTCAATTTCAAAGTGGTGGTTGTATCTTATAACACATCTGTGTTTTGTCTTTCAGGATGCAGAAATGGAATCGATGGAGACAACAGATGGGGATAAGGAAAACCATCCCAAAATCTCTGACGACTCTGTTCCTTCTCAACAAGAAGAGTCCTTACTCATCACAACATCTGGAACAAGCCCCTGTCTAAAACCTTCTGCACTACAGAGAGAGGAAAAGGTAGACTTGCCAGTAGTCACAAGACAGGAAGTGGAACACATTTTCAATGAAAATGACTCCAAAGACTCGGGACAAAATATTTTGAGTCGCGTCACTGAAGTGAAGGTCAAAGGCATCACAAATGCAAAGGAGTTGCCGAATGAGCACAAGCCGTCAGCCGTGCAGTTATCATCAACAGCTTCTTCTTCTGCTCCTACTTATTTATCTTCTTCTGCCAACAGTGGTGCCAATAGTATCCCTGAAGGTGAAAATGCAAAGGAAGTTCAGTCAGATACAGGTGAAAAGATTGAGGTCGACACAAGGCCTGGTGATCTTACTGATGCTAAAGCAGTCCTTCCTGAGGTTGGACAGTCCCCCAGAAGGAAGGATACAACTGTAATCTCTGAAGAAACAGTTGATGTTCAGCCAGTTAATTCCTCAGTTACCTCCTCAATAATCATTGACTCTGTGAGAGTTGCTGAGGTAACAAATACAGAAAAGGGTTCCGAACTGGGAAAAGACCTCCAGGACTCAAGTGATCTGGGACAGGGCAGTCAAGATGTCTTAGCACCCCAGGAGAATAGAGGCTGTGTGGGCCATGACACAGATGTGCCAGACGATAAACCCTGTTTGTCAATCAGCGATGACGGCCTCAGTAGTGCCACAAGTAAAAATGTTGAAGGAAAGCTTGAAGATGATGCACCCATTAAACCTCTTGGGGAGGAAAGTGGGAGCGAAGCACTAGGAACTGGTGGAATCACTGTAGCAGCTTCTGTCTCTGAATCAAATGGTGATAATAGATCTACGCCTCTTCCACTGTTGAAGATGGAAGATGACAAAACCCATGCTGACCAGGAAACTGGTAAGGCAAATGTTGCAACTACTGCAGAAAAGGGTGTTGACATAGACACATTCAACTGTGAAAAACTAGCAGATCAAGGCTCTCCCCTTTCTAACTTAAAAGAGGCTGATAACTATGAATCTATCAAGGATAATATACATTCTATGTCCAGGCGAATAAGTCCTTCATGTCTGATTCCCACTATAGAATTGCAGGCTTTGGACAAAGACCCATCACCAGAAAACCAGATAACAACAAACAAAGAAACTGTAGCACTTCAGGACAGCAGAGACGCAAGTCACCTTCAAGTGAAACAAAATATTGTTCGCACTGTTAGATCTACTCTGTCATTAAGAAGTGATACTAGCACAAATGAATTCACAAAAGTTACTGAAAATCAAAGCCCAGTTGTGATCCGAGAGGAAGAACCTAGCCAAGTGGCATGTTCCACTACGGCTCAGTCACCAGAATGCATAGGCCAAGTTCGCTCTGCGATGGGCCCTCCGCTTCCTCGTCTCCTAACACCTCTGAAAACACCTCCAAAGGCGGGCAAATCAATCAATCCAAGGCAGGCTATTGGTAAACTCTCATTTCCCTCGCCCATGGAGAGATCTGTTTCGCCTTCCACTCCTGTCCAGGCGCACTTGACTCATAACAGTCGGCAGCTGAGATCCTCTTCACTTAACAGTCCACTCCCTCCGAATGGAGTCCCCTCCTCTCCACTACAGTTCTGTTCCGCCACTCCAAAACACGCCGTGCCGGTCCCAGGTCGCCTACCCTCTACGGCAATGAACTCCTCCCCGTCATCTTCCTCCAGTCCATCTCAGGAGAACTCCATGAGGATCTTTGACACCATGTACCCGGAGCTCTCTGCCCACGCCCGAACTCTGAGCATTCTCAGAGGGAATGTCGGGCTCAGCATGTGTTCATCTGAGAGTGGGACGTTACCCACAACAACCAACAGTCAGATGTCTTGCTTTAAGACGATTAACTCCACTTCGACGGCCTTCACCAAGACTGAGATGAGACGAGAAAAAAGACAGGCCGTCAGTTTGCTTCAACCTAAAAGCAGTAAATGTCTCAGGCTAGATAACTGCTCTCCTACTGTCAGCCACAAGCAGGTGCGTTCCTCCTCCTCCAACAGTGGAGTGGAGGCCACCTCAGCCCAGACTCTGAGTAGCCAACAATGCAAACCAAAGACAGCTTTACCGTCCCATGAAGGTGGAGAACCGGCAAAGCAAAATCTTATAGCTCACCTTTTAAAGAAGATTGAAAACCAGTTTTTCGATCTACTGCCTGTGATCCAGAGCCAATTGTATGTTGGTAACCTGTCCAAAAAGCCTGTCTTGAGAGACGAAGAGAAGGAGGTCATCTCTGAGATTTGCCAAAACGGCTTGGTGAGTAGACTTGTTTATTCGGCCTATGAATTTCAGTTGTTTTCACTCTTGCCATTCATCATTTATTAATTTGACCGTATGACTTAGCCTTTTGTTGCTGCAAATATACTGCAAGTAACACTATATTTTTGGGAGAAAAATGCATTGAGAGGTAATCGCTCTGAGGTTTTTTGGTACCATGGATTTGATTTTAAATGTCAAGTGTTTTTATCTGCATAATTGAATTAAAGAAAAAAAAGTATTGTAGGCTTATCTTACTGTATGCAATTGTAGTTTAAAACAGTGTTTTTGTATGCACAATTGGTTCTTTCCCATTAATCATTTAGTTCTGAATAACATGCCCTTTGTGTAACTTCTTTATTGTTCACTTAAAGAAAAAAGAGACTGAATGTCAATAACAAAGGCTCTTGTGTAGCTCCTGACAAATACAAATACAATATCTATGTAAATGCAAACGCCTGCTAATAGCTCATACGATGTGTTTGTTTAAAAGATGTGTCCATGTGAATGAACTTTTTGTGCATGTTTACTCTCTCTTCAGCTTAACACGGGTGACATGATTTTGGCCATCCTGGAAAAGTTGAAAGAGGGGAAAAAATATCTGAACAGTAACCACACGCAGGCCCTCTGTAGAGTCCACACAGGGATCTGTAGACAGACAAGAGACTGGGAGAAAGCTCACATCCTGGCACACAGCATTCTCACAGAAGGTTAGCAATTAACGTTCTACCGTATTTAACCTCGTACATACTTTTGCAAATGTATTTTTACTTGATTGCTTCTCTCAACTGTAAAGGCTGTCTTCATTGCTCCTTCATGCACCACTTAAGCTTCACTTTAAATGAAGATGTGTTTTCGCATATTGTGTCTTTCTTACTGCAGATTTCCCAGACTGTGCTAAGATGATTTTGTTCATGGTGACAACATGGCCCAAAGTACTCTCACACAGTAGTTCTCTGTGCCAGGCTATACATACTGTCACCAAACTGAAAGCAGAAGAAAACCTCCTCAGCTGCCTTTCAGCATACCTTGGCTGGGAAAAGGTATAGTATTTTTGCAGAGATCGAGTTCTCCAGTTGAATACTTATTTTACTCAAATCTAGCTTGTCAAATGTATATCCTCTGACTTTTAAAGGGGGTGACCGGTGAAAACATTGCTATTTATTTTAATTCCTTTAAAGTGTAGATAATTGTGATGGCATTTAAGTTTAATAAATTGTTTAGGTCCTGACCTTTGTGACCATAGTTTAGCCAGATCACTGTTTTTATCAAATGTCTTATTTCCCAATTGTATCCCTTTTGAAATCTAATCTCCTCTTATCACTGCAGACTCCTCCCTGTGAAATTGAGACGCTGATCTCCAGAACGCTGTCTGATATTCAGTCAGGGTCCGGCATGTCTTTCACTAAACACAGTCGCTACGGGCAGGACCTGGGTACTGAGGCCTGGCAGCATGTCTTAACCCTGCAACTCCTCTGTTCACACAAGAAGTGGCAGTGGACCTATGATCATTTATTGGGGTATGTTATTTGTTCTGACTTGAAGATACATACACATATACACATAGTCTTCCAAACAAAATCTAAATAATCTATGTGAAGCTGACCATTTTCTGTAAACAGGCATCTACTGTAACCCTGTGCTAATCTGTAGTGATGGGAATTATGGCTCTTTGAAGGGAGCTGGATCTTATGGCTCCGTTCCTTTCAAAGAGCCGTTTTAAAGGGGGCGGGGTTACTAGGTTTATCTGCAAAATAATCACCAGGATAATGATTGACTGTATTGCCAGACCTAATGTCAATAGTCTGCAGCATTGTAAACATGACACAAGGTGGTGCCATATCCATGTCATTCATGTCAGTGAATGCACTACTTTGAATTTACCTTCTATATGTGTTAAGTAAATAAAGTCGCCTTGCCTTGAATGAAATTCAAGCAACTCTTAATATTAGATACTGTGTTTTTAAGTGGCGATGGAGATTATTTGTTGACCCTGCTTTAAAGAATATTTTGCCTTTTACAAATGGTGCGCTTTGTCACTGCCTGGGTTTTGGTTGAAGTGCATCCAAATGCTGCTACTTTTTTCGTGTTTGGCTCATTTTCCATCCGAAAAACACGTTGTCTACCTGTCCTGTACCACTTGTTATGACTTCTCTCTCTCGCGTATTCCGTTAAGACCCACCCCATCTCACTCCTCGTGCTGAAACCTACCAATCAGAGTAGGGGCGGGTCTTCACAGAATACGTTTGGGGAACAAAATCAAGCTTTTTAAAAGGCGAGTGGTTTTGGCAGGCAGTGAGTGCGGACCGGAACGATTGAACGATAAAAAGAATTCAAAAATAATCGGCTCGTTCGCGACCGACACATCACTACTAATCTGTTGATTCTGCTTTGACAGCAAGGAGTTGTGGCCACTCATGAACACCTGGGTGACACAGCCCAGAGATCAACAAACTCCTGTCTCTGATTTGACCGTCGCCACTGTAGTCCGACTCATTGGTAGGTTTATTTTTTATTTTTTTGAAGGTTACCATAACCTGAATCAAGTGTAATTTATTGATAGCCTAGGGATTACCAAATTGAAAATGTTATGGTTTTTCCATTTAATATAGGACGCCTCGGTCAACTTGGAATGAAAGACAGGAATTCTTCCTCAGTGGTAACAGTAGCCAACGTCATGAACGCGTTTGGAAGGCACGGACAGACTGAAGGTATCTATGTGCTCAGAGTGATGTCCATTTCCCAAGACATACCTTTAGTTGGTCATCATTTTTTTAAACACTAATGTAGTTTTCTTTCTATTTTGAGTATTTACACATGTATTTACATGTGAATTTTAAACAGATTCCAGTGTGTGTATATATATATATATATATATATATATATATTATCCTGGCATNATTCTATTATCAATAACAGGGCAGGGTGAAATACCTATCCCTGTGTGTGCGTGTGTGTATATATATATATATATATATATATATATATATATATATATATTATCCTGGCATTTAAAAATAAAAAGCAGTCCAGTAGATGTTTTTCCATTCAAAAGCCACTTCTTTTTAAAGTTTTTAATTTTGTTCACATTTTGCCTTTTATTTATAGTACAGAAGAGATACAGAGGAAATTAAGGACTTAACCTTTAGTAAATGGCCTCCACCCCCATTTAGAAGTTTAATCTCATAATGTTTTTTCCCCCAGGTGTACCATGGGAGGTCCAGTTGGCCGCAATCTACTGCATCTATGACCTGTCTCCCTGTAACCCCAAACAAGCCCTGGATGCCCTGGCAGGGTGGAGAGGAGAAACGTTTCACAGCGTCCCTCCTGCAGTCACCAGCTGCATTAACCAGTTAGCTTCTATCTGCAGACAAGTCAAGAGTTGAGAGACACAAATGCTATACAGTTTGTACACTTTTTTTTTTTAATGAAAAATTCCAACTATGCACCTACGTTTTTATGTAAACTTGCTGACTGGCAGCCTATGGTAGAGTTGTTAACCGTTTGGGCACATAAATGTTCTCAAATTTGTTTGGTGCTACCCCTCACAAAGGAGTTCTTGAAGTACATAGTAAGCCTTTAAATTAAAATATGCTGAAAGACAGTTCAGACAAATGTTTTAGTTTGTGTTTTGTATTTGCACTTCTACTTTAAAATGAATACATTTAAATGTACTCTTATTTTGTAGCAAATGTTTCCTCAATGTTTAGTACTGGAGACATTTAACATTCGTTTTTTAAACTGTACATACCCTGTTATAAATGTACCGGCATGTATCACTGCAATCTTTTTGCTCAGGTAATGCTCTCAAATATTGTAAAATATGTACATGTGTTCTGGTTAAACTGTGGCCCGGTTTTATATAATTTCTTCATTTGTAAATATGAGGATTTGATGTTTGTATGAATGAAAAATAAGATTGCCACAGCTCTGTACAGTTTAAAGTTTCAGAGGTTATCTAACTTTTTCAAATAAAAAATTCAACATAATGAATATAAAATACATGTCTATTTGGTTGCATTTACTCCTCACTTGGCCAAATGAAATTCATTATAAAGCCATGCAAATTGCGTTCTGGGCCTTGGTCTACAAACTTAATATAGCCTATAAACTGCATGCTTATCCTAAATGAGAATAAGTCATTTATAAACTTATATTTCTTGGGGTGACATAAAATTATCATTTGAATACAACATTTTGATAGAGGCAATGATAATTGATCCAGCCAAATTTTAAAAAACGATCACGTTTATTCTGCCCGGTTTGATCTGTGCAACATAATGGCTACAATTTCCGGACGTTGCCTTCAAAATAAAAGCCCACAACACATTTGATACGTATTACATTTGAATAAATGTGTCTTAGTGCAAATTGCAGGATTGTAAAATCGTGTAGAGACGATTTATGTTATGACTTAAAATGCTTTTAAGAAATCCTGAATGAGAAATTGGTTTTAGACAAGATTTAGGAATATGGAGTAGGAGAGTTACAATTTAACAACCTATCCTATATCATCTATAAAGTATATATTTTTAAATGTGATTTAATGTGACTGCTTTGTATTTTTGTTTATGTTGTGTGTTGTTCATATGAGTTTCCAAGGGGTGGGTTCAATATTACGTTTAACTTCCGGTGTGTCCGGCTTGTGTTTGGGTAGATTGACGCATCTTTGAGTCTCGGGGGGTGTGTTCAAATATTTAAATCCCTCGGACATGCGTAGACGCTGATCCGTGCTGCTGGGTTCGCCATATTGGCTGTCTTTACATGGGGAGTGGAGTTGGACAAGCTGCCTGAAAAACCAAATCAGTTAATGGACATGAAGCAATTCGAAGATAACAAGTAAATTAACGCGGTAGGATTTATCTGTCTACGTGAACGCAAAGTGTTGAATTTGCCAAATTGCTCGCCATTTCCCCCTGAAGTGGTTCTCGACCAACTCGACTCCAATGGATCCCCAGACCGCTTGGATGCAGCCGGAACAGAAGGGACCTGCCAATTCCCCGTGGGTGCACATTTGGGAATCCTCTCAGGGATTTGGAGCTAACTCCGGCATCGACAACCACCTTCACCACCAACGCAACTTTGCATCATTAAATGCAAACTCCACGGAGGCTAACGGTGAGTATCGCAAGAATGTAGCACTGCCGGGGTGTGTGTTTGGGAAACTGTCGAAGCGAGACAGCGGCGGCGTAGAGAGAGGAAATGTCCGGAGGACGGGCTCGTTGTCGCCGTCCTCCTCCTCACTGGACTCGGAGGCCGAAAGCTCCTCGCCTTCCGGCTCCTCGCTGCAAATCGATAATTTGAACGAAGAGGCCAGTCGGTTTTTACACTACGGTGAGCACGAGTTGAACGAGAACAATCTCAGACGGCAACAGCAGCCCCCTCCGCCTTTTCACACTGTCCAGCAACACTGTCGCAGCATGCAACAATCTGGCGGCCACACCCCCACCGGGATGAAAAATCAGCATGGGAACAAGCACCACCACTATCAGTCACAGTCATCCGGCCGCAGGAGGCACCTGAACAGGGCCAACACTTTCCACGGTATCAACCCGCTCCTGTCCTACGCCTGCAATGGACACCATGTAGACTCTTCCTTCTGCCTGTGGAAAACCAGGCGCTACAGCCCGGGTATAAACGGGTAAGGATAATTGTAAGGTTTTTTTTCTAAGTCATGAGGTACGGGGTTCTTAAAGGAAACTCACCTAGTCACCAAATGCACACTGTTCCATGATGAATTGTAATGAAATAGGTTCAGTATGCATGAAACAGTTACATGTAGGCCTATGCCTTTTCTCATTGTCAATATGTCAATCTAGTATTTCATATCACAATAAACGGTGAAACCCATCTGTTGTGTAACTGACCCAACTAATTTATCTACGTTAACTTGCAAGTCAGCCAACATTTAAAACAATTTTAAATAGTTTGTAAAATAATGAACTTGACTTTGTGTGAACTGAAGTGCTTCAAACAATTCCTTTAGGGCAGTAACATTAGTATAGTATTTATGTCTAGGCCTTTTAATTTGTATCAAATGCATCCAGAAATGCTTTCTGTAATCTTGCATTATATTGCTGACTCTGTTCCTGTGGTTCTGTCCTTTCTCCTTTTGAATCTTCAGTCTTCATGAAGAAATTGTGGACTTTTTCAACTTCATGTCGCCACGACCAGAGGAGGAAGCCATGAGAAGAGATGTTGTGAACAGAATAGAAGGTGTCATCATGGACTTGTGGCCCACAGCACGGGTGAGCACCTGTAAAACTCTCAGCTACTTTCAAAGATCATTATTCGACCATGGTCTCCTGAAACGGAGGTTGAAACCTTCTTTATTTGTCACACATACATGCACACAGTGAACTTGTGTCTCTGCTTTTAACCCATCCTAGTACTAGGAGCAGTGGTAAGTGTTGTGTCGCTTTTGGCTTAGGTCAATATATGTTACGATATGACTTTATTAGTCAGACCAAGTCTGAAATTTGACTTGCGTCACAGCAGCTCCATGTCCAACACCAACATAGACAAATATCCAGACACAAATACATGAAACACAAACAACAAACATTTAACATAACAGCACAATCAGTGCTGTTATAAAAGACATTTCAATCAAGCCATTGAGTTGGATGACCACTTCACTGACACTGTCTAATTATACTGAGAATGTAAGGGTTTTAGAAAGAATATGACTTATGGGAGAGCAATATAATTGATATAAAATGTATACATCCACTTTTCTAAAATGTACACTTTTTTTTACCTCTTCTGAGCTGAAGAAAATAGGTACAAAAGCAGGGTTCTTCTCCAAAGGTCTCCACTCAGGATTCACATATTTCATTTCAAAACCTTTTGGAATACATTTCTATATCAGTTTTTTTTATGCATATTATTTCTCTTTTAATTGACTGGTTGTCAATATTTTTTTTATTCAATACTGCTATCGCCTGTTTAAATCAATGTTTTGTTTGTTTGTAAAGTTTTTTTGTCAGTATGTCTGAAGGTTTACTGTGCTTCACGTTTGGCCTTTCTGTAGACTGTCAACTCACGCCGTCCATACGGCGGCGTGCGTTGAAGCTTCAACGCTTCTGCCCATTCACTTTGAATGGGGTGACGTCACGCTTTGCCGAACTGCATTGTGGTTCCGTCGCTTCGCTTTGCATCCGTTGCTCGCTTCAAAAGTTGAGAAAAGTTCAACTTTTCAAGCTTCGACGGAAGCGTCAGCCAATCAAATCATATGCCAGTACAAGCTCTAGCCAATGAAACCGCGTGCTTGTGTGTCCGGGGCGGGAGATTCATGTAATTGGTTGTTGTTGTTCGAGCTTTAGACACGCCTGCCGGCAAGCTTCAACGCACGCTACTGTGTGGACGCTGCGTTACACTGCACGTCCAGAGTTGACGAGATGTTATTCTTCTTGTAACCTGCGTTTCTAAATAAACATTAGTAAATGATTTTCCATCGCATGTTCCATCGCATGTGACCAACATAATGTTATACTCAGTGTAATTTGTAACAAATGGAATATTTTTTTTTTGGTTGCCATTTATAAACCTTTTTTAAGCTAATCCTAGCCCAGAGAGGTCCCACTGGGCCTCACTTTCCTCCAAAAGACACATTTGTGTTTCTCCAAGCTGTGGTGGTACAAATCATGCGTTGAGCAGTACAGCTCAAATGTATGCATAAAGGTTACACTTGCTAAAACATGAGTGATCAAATTAATGAAGATAACAATAATGTATGTAGACTTAAAATCAGAATTGTATTAATTGGTCTTTAACTCTGCAGGTGGAGATATTTGGCAGCTTCAGCACAGGACTTTATCTTCCAACAAGGTAACATTTGTGTGTGCAGTCTGACCTTATATGAGGGACTTGACATTTCTCATCAAAATGCTTGTTTTGAGAAAGTGGGAGCAATATCTTTGATAGGGTATGACTATTTATGTCAGAGTATACTACAATACAGAATTCAGAATTGCCATTTACTTTTTGTTCTATGCTATCATTTTGTTCTTGTATACAGTGTTTCTTTAGCCTTTTCAAGGGTTACTATGTTATTTGAACATATTTTACTCTGCAAGATATAAATGCTTTCAACAACTTTATTTCAAATTGAGTGACAAGTGTAGCACTTAATAAAGAGATTGTTGAAGTGTGGAAATAAGGCAGGTGTTAAATGCAGTGATTGTTTCAAAATCACACCACCTGCATTCACTTGAGCCGTACTCCAAGATCAACAATGTTGATTATGAAGTAGGACCGGGTCTTAATGATGCCTAAATCATAAACAAATGTAATATTTATTTCTATGTTTATTTTGTATGGTTACAAGATTTAAAAAAAAAGAAAATGTAAACTTCAGTGGTTAATAACCTTAACGTTAAAGAGACACAGAAATAATGCTTCACTGCCACCTGCATTTGGCCACCTTTCCTTCTTGGTTTTGGTCACATTGTGCTCACACAACCTTTCCCAACAGCCTTAATTAGATGGCCCTAATGTGTTTTTCTTCTGTGACCTCGTTGTTGTACACTGTGTAGACATAATTCTTTAGATGTCACCTTTTAGCGACAAAGTACTCTGGGTTTTTATTCTCAGTGACATTGACCTGGTGGTGTTTGGAAAGTGGGACCATCCTCCACTGCAGGAACTGGAACAAGCCCTGAAGAAGCACAATGTGGCTGGCCTTTATCCCATCAAGGTCCTCGACAAAGCTACAGTAAGTCACCGGGAGAGCGCAGACTGTTCCCAATAAGTCAAGAGCACACGGAGAGAATACCTTTTGTATGTTAAAAAACAAAAGATGTTCAGTTCACCCACCCTTTTTTTGGATTGATTCCAATTAACTCTTTGACCTGTCCTCAGGTGCCAATCATCAAGCTTACTGACCATGAAACGGAGATAAAAGTGGACATCTGCTTCAATGTAGAGACTGCAGTTAAAGCAGCACAGTTCATCAAAAGCTATCTTAAGGTAACACTTCAAAACCTGACACCTTTGATGCGTATGTGGCCTTTTTTTGGTTCAGTCTTTAATTTGTTTCCTCTCTATCTTGTAGAAGTACACCATTCTGCCGCCTCTGATCTTTGTCCTGAAGCAGTTCCTACTTCAGAGGGATCTGAATGAAGTCTTCACTGGAGGCATCAGCTCTTACAGCCTTATACTAATGGCCATCAGCTTCCTGCAGGTACACATGGTATACCTGCTAAATGTATTGCGCATCTGCAACAAAATCCTTTCTTGTCTATTGAAATAATAGCAGGTTGATACAATTATCTCCTTCTGTCAAAGGAAAAGCTCTCCATATTATTTGTATACCCTTCCTGAGAACTGTTGTATCTGTGCACAATTTGAAAGGAAGGTGTCAAAATTGGAAAAAGCATCTATTGACTTTGTCTTGATATGTAAACTTTTGTATGTCATTTAAAAATAATAATAATTGCAGTTAATCAGGCTGGATTTGGTTAGAAAGTGTGGATAATGATAAAGTCTGATTATCACAGTTACACCCTCGAATCGACACGCGACGTGCCAACATCAACCTGGGCATCCTGCTGATCGAGTTCTTCGAGCTGTATGGCCATAACTTCAACTACATAAAGACCGGCATCAGGGTGAAGAATGATGGATCTTACGTGTCCAAGGAGGAAATGCTCAAAGCCATGGGGAGTGGAAACAGGCCATCCATGCTCTGCATAGAAGACCCAATACAGCCAGGTCAGCTTGGGATTTGATGAATACATTGAGTATGCTCAATTCACATAGAGGGTGTGGCATCATGGCAGTAGCAAACATTAATCATTTTCTCTCAGTACATTAATATGGGAAATTATGACTGTGTGTAAACATTGTAAAGATCAGGAAAAAACTCCAAAGACATTTAAAAAAACAAAGTTGTGACAAAATCATATGCTGTGGGATGCTTTTAGTTCCAAAACATGGATGCATAGATAATCTTGATTTGACTGACAAACCCTGCTGTGAAGTAGGATGGGGTCCAACTCTTTTATGCCTGTATGGCTAGTGCTTTAACACATTTCCCGGGACTTTATACGCAGTTTGTCTGTATACAACGTATTGTCCAAAGCTGTTTAACCTCTCTTTATATTGATTTTCACAGGGAATGACGTGGGCAGGAGTTCATACGGTGTCCTGCAAGTCAAACAGGTGTTTGACTTTGCCTACATGGTGCTGAGTCATGGAGTATCTCCTCTTGCACGCGCTTACCCCAACAAGGAATACGACAGGTTTGTTTCTCCATGATTTAGTGATGTTTGGTATTGGCCCAAGCAGTCATCTTACATACTCTTTTAGAATTGCATTATCTTTTGAAAATCTTGCAATTTGCATATGACTTTTTGGCCAAGCAACCAACACAAGCTTGATGCATCTTGGCTAAATTACAGCTAGCTGTCTAACCTTAGCTTTGCTTACAGTTAGGTACTTGATTTAAATACCTATGCAGTATCCTAGCTCACTGGGCTGCAATTTGTATTTATATAATTAATATTTTGTTTGCAACAAGCAGCGAGCTAGTTGCTTCTTGTCTAAACTGCCTCGATCTGTCGTTGGTTGCTTTTGTAACATTCGCTAAGGGAGCTGAAATTGGTCAATTTACCCAAGGACACAACAATGTCACATCTTCATATTGTTCAGGCAAAGCCTTCCTGCACATAGAAATGAGTTGAGGGAAGGTCTTAGATTTTAAGATATTTCATAATCCATCATCATAACAAACTTTACTTTGTAATGATTTTGTAAGCACTAGTTTTGACAGTTTCCTGATAACATTGTGGAATACACCTGTCTCTGTCTCTGCAGCACTTTAGGACGCATCCTCAAAGTCAGCCCAGAGGTGTTGGCCTACAGGGACTGGACAATAAAGAAGTGGGCAGCCAAGCAGCATGTCAAGTTGGAGAACCATGGTAACTTTGTGGGAACCTTGGGTTTGCATCCACTTTGGAACAATAATACTGGAGGTTATATTATGACTCCCATTTGTTTTGCTATATTAAAAGTATAATGGTTTGGTAAATAAACTTGATGTTGAAAGTTCTAACCTCTTTTAACAGTAGTCTTCTGTTTATTCCTAGATGTAGAGACCTGTGAGCAGGACCTTGCCAGGCTGATGCTGGTCTCTGTCGAGGATCAAAGAGACTCTTCCTCCCCCCTCAGCACTGACTCTCCCTCACCTTCGCCAGTGTTCCTCCCCAGCCCTCACCACCACTCCTCATCGTCCTCAGCATGCTCGCTCTCCTCATCCTCCGGAAGTGACATAGTAAGGCCAAAGGATATTTTGCCTTTGAAACATTCACTACATAAGTTGCTGATTAACTTTCTATAGTGATCAAAGCCACTAAAATCATTGCATCTTTGTTAAACAGCATGTGTTCTTTTCCCCAGGAGTCTGATTCTCCCCCAAACAGTAATACTGCAATCCAACTCCAGTCTCTCACCCTGGCCTCAGTCCATTCAGTTCTCCAGATGGCTTCTGACTTGGGGGTATCACATCCACCAGGCTTTATCCACACAGTGCCTCAGGTCAGTTTAATTGTGTTCCCCTTTACAGGTTGCAGGAAAAAACATAAAACTTCACTAATATTTTTCAAATAAGGACATTTAAAACCTATGAACTTGATTCAATGGTTATTTTTGTTTGATATCCACATTTTAAATGTCGCCACGGAAACACTTTTTTTCTTTGTTTTTCTTCATTCATGAACATTTGAACAGAATTACATTTCCTATAAAATTACATTATAAATGTTTCAACAATGCATACCTTACTTAAAGAGAATTCTAATTATATATTCTGCTTTTAATTACTAGGTCCAGATGTCCTTCCCAGAAAACCTTACCATCCCCTCACTCTCCAATTGCCAATTCTACCATGAGAATCCACCTTCGGTCAATGTTGTGCACCATCACATGACACACGCTGCACAAGTCTCCCAGCACACAAACTCCACAAGCCCCCTCCACCAGCTCCACCACCCGCAGATGGTAGGACATCAGAGCCACACTTACACCATGAGATCCAGCTCCCATGGCTCCCTTGATCCACAAAAAGTTGGCTTCAAGCAAAACCAAGGTGGCGTTCTCCAAGGTCAAAATCAAACTCAAGGTAACTTCAGTCCCCAGCAGCGCTTTGTCCCCCAGGGTCATAAGACAGCACCAGGTTTCAGGAACCAGCAGCAGTACAACCGTAATACTTGGAGGAGCAAAAAGAAGGAAAACCTTCCTGCTCTTAACCAGAGCAGATGAAAGACTTGCTTGTCTGTGAAGGCCTCACATAACTCATCATGAGTTTTGATGTTGACCAGCTGTGAAGCATTCACAATGCACCTGTTTTCTGTTGGAGGCTCTCTAAAATGCACCAACTTTGTCCTATAATTCAAAAGTCAATTGAAGTTGACTCCAAAGGTGTCAAAATGATTGATCTATGCTAGCAATGTGCATTACTAAGTGATGCTACAAGTCTCTCACAGGCAAATGAGGACTGTCAAAGGCCCAAAGTCTTAACTGTGCTCATTTTGTTACATCGGCCTGATGAGGCCCTTCCTCTAAAATGTGATGCACACCAGCACAGAATTTAAGTTGATCAAGGAATTACGGATTCCTAGACTGGGTCTCCTTCCCAGTGTCACTTTTGAGCAGCTAAAGATTGACTGGATAGCTATAGAGTTGATTAACGTTTTGAGTTTCCATGCAACTTGAACACCGTTAGGAAACTTGATGTGCCATAGTACTGAACTGGTCTTTCTTGAAGTTCTGACTCTTATTGAGCCTTTTTGAGCAGGTTTTGGGCTCTTGTCTTCTGAATGCAAACTTGCTTTTGGCTACACTCTTGATTCAGAGCTCTGACAGCTTGGACTATCATCTACCAATTGTACTCTGGAGCGAAGCACTACCTTTCTACCTATGCAGCGCAACGCTGACTTGATGTTTTTGGTGTGACAGTACAAAACGGACCTTGTATCAAGTGCTTAAACTGTGATGACTTATTTGAATGTACCAAGTGTTTCCTTTTTGTATGTTGGTCATTTGTTCCCTTGTTTTTGTCACCGGGGGCTTTTTTTTTGTTCACATTGGCACTATTATCTTTTTTTATTTTTGTAAACATTGACACCTTATTTTATGTTTGTTGCGTTCATGTGCAATAATTGCTTTTATTTAATTTATTTCACGTTTTAGTTACATTTCAGGGGACACCCCCTACCATAAGTTTGCTTTTTTATTTTAAGACAACATTGATCTGTGCAATAGATGGACTAAAGGGCCTTGAAAGAATGTTTGCGTGTGTGTCTGTATCTGTGTGTGTGTGTGTGTGCGCGTGTGTGTGCAGCTTTCCAACAGAAGGGGGAGCTATGGTAAAGCAAATTGAGAAATGTGCCAAAAATGACATGGTTTACAACTGCATTATGATAACATGAAATGTTACCAACTTCCTGCATTATCACCACTACTCATTTCACTTGTTTCATTAGTTTGATTTTGGGGTGTACTTCTGCTTAATGGAAGTAGCACCTTAACATTGTTTACTTTTGTCATTTCAAAAATAGTTGGTGCTATTTATTACCAGCAAAGTGCTTTTTTTCTCTGCCTTATATCTCCATTCGATTCTGTTAAAGCAACAGGTTAACTGCCTTCTTAAATGACCGAACTTGCCCTTTTTCCTGTATGTAGCAGCTTTCTGTTCTATTTGTCTCCATAAGCACTGCCAGGTTTACTTGGCTTTTATTTGTACATCCAGTTTCTAGGTGTATGCTCCAGTAGTAGACTCCTAATGCAGTCAATGATTGTTAACATTAACATGTCACAACCTTTTCTTTTAAATCAAAGTTCATAAAGATGGCAAGAGGTCCCTCCATTTCAGAAATGTTCCGCTCGTATTTAAAGTCAGTATTTATACGTCTTGTAAGACAAGGTTTTAAGCTACATAATTTACACAGCAATCTGTAAGAGGAATGGAGCTTGGGGTGTCATAGAATCGCTGTTACTAAAGTTTTGGTAGAGCCATTAACAAAACCGAAATTGGTGAGGGTCATGTTTTAAAAGTAGGTGACGATTATAACCCCCTGCTCACCAATCCGATGGACTCTATACTGTTGGTAGCATAACCTCATCTTGAATGCTGCTTTTATTAAACCATGTAGAGGATGGTCCAAGGGTTTATTTGTCATATTGCCACAAACCAAATCCCCAGCTCAAATGTGTGTAATTAAGGATGGGTTGTTATGTGTAAATGATGGACATATAGATGTATACCTTGTTTTTTTTAATGTAAGTTTTCTATTTTTTTAATAAACATTTTAAAACTAAATTTCCTTTTTTACTGTGTTTGTGTCGACTCTTTGTGCTGGCCTTTACATTGCGGCACAATGGTGAAAGGGATGTCTTGTATTGCTTGGAGGTTCATACTACTTTTGGTTTGCTCTTATATATTTTTTCAGTTGTTACTGTTTTAGCCTTTTATTTAGATTTTTTAATTTTAAATCGACAAAACGGTTGTTCAGAGAAAAAGGAAGCAATGCAACAAAAGGCCAAGAGCTGATTTTAAACATGGCCCGCTGCAGTAAAAACTCAGCCTTTGTACATAAGCTATACAAGGTGACCTACCAGAGCACCGATTAAACGGTACAGCCTTTTTCCAAACTACTTCATTCTTAGTAATGCTTTACACTTGCTTCATCACAGCTGGGGACATTCAGACTAATGGGAAACATTTATTAGCATTTTCCAGTCTTTGCAACCACTTAAAGGTATCCTAATCTATTTTTAGGCATATATCATGGGTAAAGAACATGTCTGTGTTTTGCTCAAAATACCAAACAGATCATGCATTTTAGACATCCCTCACATCCCTCTGTCAACCCTGTTAGAGAACTGCAGGTTAGGGGTCCTTAGTATGAAAAAAAAAAAGAGGATGGGGAGCTAATGCCTGCTCAGAATTATACCGGAGATAAAGCTAAATGCTGCCGTGGTTAAATGCCATCATGTTCCGAACCACATCAAGGATTATTTCTGAAACGGTATGGAGCTCAAATGCTTTTTCTCTTACGGTTCTACCACAAGGTGAGTTTCTTTTTTTATTTCCTGCTTTTTTACACATACTCTCCAGTACAGGTTAGCCCTGAGTGTTAGCGATGCTTACTAATGCAACCCAGTCTCATGGCATTTCGTGTTCACCAACACGATTTTTTTATCTATTGATTCGTGTGTTCACCAACACGATTTCCCCCTTTTTTTCGTGTTGCACAGCACGATTTTAAAGCAATGTATTTCTATTGGTAGTCTCACGACATTACGTGTTATAGGAAGACCGGAAGCTGTGTGGTTCATAAAAACATGTTCTTACTCAATATCAAGCCACAATTATTACGTACACCGGCAGTTACCCCTACATTTTGCCGCCCCCGTCACCTAGCAACCAGCTGCAGTCACAAGTGCCGGTGTCGGTACCAGATGTGTTCGGGGTACCATATGTGTTCGGGGGCCGTCTCTTACCAATGACGTCATGCATTGTACGCATTGTGATTGGCTGTACGGTAATTTACCCAGGGGTGCTCGGGGGCAAATCACATCTACAGATCATGACGAACCGAATTGAATTATTCCTATGCTCCTAGCGTGTGAAAATGTTTGTGAAAAACATGTTAAAAAAACATGAAAACGGAGCAATGGCTGTACGGCAACTCAAGAGGACCATTATACACGGTCAAATTCCGAACATTTAAACATAGCCTACACTTCATTCTTTACTTTGTCCGTTATTATATGTAGAAGATGAACTACCTCTCTGTCTTCTGAGTGGTTAAACATCACTAATGATTTTCTGACTTCTGACTGCTTTGGATATATAATTACACCACAATAAAGGTTTTTTACTATCACAGTGCACGAGAATTTGGTGAACAAACTGTAAGCACTTACGCTCACTGTAACACGTAAACCAAGGCGGTTTTGCCTCACCACTACTGTACTGAGGCTCAGTCACTGGTACATTTCCATTTACAACAGCCCATTGTTGGATAAGTACCATCCTTATATCGTGCTCCTGATCTCTCGGCAATTGGAAAGTACTTATTGCCCTGAAGATCCTCAATGCTGGTGGTTTTATTTAATGAGCCAGGTGCTAGGACTGCTCTAGGAATAAAGCTTTCAGATGTGCAGCTCACTAACTTGGAACAGTCCTGCAAAAGAATGTAAAATTACAAGCTGGTACCACTACATGTTTTAAAGCTTGGTTGGATGCTCCACAAGTCAGATGCTGTTGGTAGACTTTAAATGTGGATATACCGTATAGGGTAAATTGTAAACCCCTGTAATTTTTGCTGTATGATTGTCCTTTTGTTGTTCGTTGTTTATTGTTTTTATGTCTTCATGTGGGAACCTACTGCTGCAGGTCTACCTTGAAAAATAGATCATTGATCTCAATGGGGCATTTTACCTGGATAAATAAAGGTTTTTGAATTGAATGTCGAGCATTAACTGCAGTCACTCAATGCATAAACTGGGCAATAATTATGTTACAAGTGTTACAGAAAACATATCCAAGTGTAACAAAAACATCCCAGTATTAACCTTACCTGTTTTTTACTAACAGTAACCAACCTAATAATTTTCCATAAATCTGGTTTGGGCATATTTTATCGCAAACTCCCACCCCCAATATATATATATATATACGGTAAATAAAACATATGCACAATGGTACACAGTATCAAACCTCTTTAAGGCCAAGCTGGTCAGAGGCATTCATGTAAAGCAGATCACCAGAACCAATCTGGTAAAACGTTGGGCCAGAGATCAAGATGTTTCCTTGTATGAAAGGAGAAACCTAATTTTAAAAAGCCAAGGCATTTTCCAGTGTGTGACTTGAAGATAAGTTCTGATCAATAATAAAACCTAGTATGTGTATGTAGTGACCATTTCATGATTCCAATGTCAGTCCGCTTGACAGTACAAATGTTGGGGAGAAACAGTCCCCTTGAACAGTAACAAATGTTGGGGGAGAAAAGAAGTTAACTTTTTTGGCCATTTAGAAAATTCATGAGTTTGGAGTTGTCCTGGCATTTAATACTTAACTTGAGTTGAGATAAATGGGATGGAATAACATCTAAAGGCAGACTGGAGGAAGATCAAGAGCTTTGATCTAATAAGAAGGGATGTAACAATAAAATAACAGTATCCATCTGCATAAAAATGGAAAGCAGTCAATTTGAAAAATTGTTGAGATTATTTACATACAGTATATGGTGAAATTTGGTCCTAATATGGAACCCCTTTCCCAAAATCAAATCCAATCCCAAAATCAAGTTTTATTTGTATAGGGCAACGCTTTATCAAACGATTTTTGGTCCGAGCCCCAAAGTGCTGTCAAATAATAAAAATCGCCCCTAACCCCCAGTAAAGACATTTTAGCCCCAGGCTAATGACAACAGGCAGTTTGTTCAGAATATCAGTATGAGAAGAAACGACAGCTCTGCCCTTAGACGCTCAATGTACAAGGAAAAACTCTCAAGAGAAAAACCCCACCAGTATAAAGGGAAAATGGGAAAACCTCCGGTGAGAGCAACAAAGAGGGCATCCCTTCCAGGACGCGAGCAGACCGTGCATAGATGCCGTGTGTAAATCGAAGAGATAATTACATTTTAGCAACAATAGGTAACGCAATGTTTAGGAAATGCAAGCGTCTATAAAAATAGGATGAATCAGAAAGAA